GTGAAAGTTATCACGAAATAACGTGAAAGCCATCACGAAATAACATGAACGTTATCACGTAATTAGGTGAAAGTTATCACGAAATAACGTGAAAGCCATCACGAAATAACATGAACGTTATCACGTAATTAGGTGAAAGTTATCACGAAATAACGTGAAAGCCATCACGAAATAACATGAACGTTATCACGTAATTAGGTGAAAGTTATCACGAAATAACGTGAAAGTCATCACGAAATAATATGAACGTTATCACGTAATTAGGTGAAAGTTATCACGAAATAACATGAAAGTTATCACGTAATTACGTGATAGTGAGAAAACAAAACTTTCCTCTCCATGTGGCAGCAATACACTTCCGTACTGTCCCTATGGGTAAATCTTCCTTACAGTATATGACCATTGACCTGGTGCTGTAGTAGACTAAAAGCTTCTCCACTTTTATTCAGACAATATTGTCCTATATCAGCCTAGCTCTCCTTTGCAACCTTCCTGTTGAGAGAGCAGCATTATCAAAAAAAAAAAAGAAAAAAGAAAAAAATGTGTTCTAAGTTATCTTATTCAATAAACACCCCAGCGCCTGCAGTGACTTTTCTTCCTTAACTCACTCTCCCCAACATTATTGCCTTTCAAGTTAGTGGCCACTTATAAAAGGTCACCCTCAGTGTAAATCGTCAATACTGGATCAATTTCACTGGGCAAATATGCTTTGGAGGCCCCGTAATGGAAGGTTTTATCTTATTTATTTTTTTTTTTACCCAGGGCACATTCATACAATGAGATTGATATCGCTCATTGTTTGATGAATTCCTAATAGAGCTATAAACTCACAGACCTTAAAGCCAGAGAAATGTGTGTGTGCGGAACACCGAGAGTCAGACCCGACCACTTAGTGAAAAATCACTCTCATATCGTTCCAATGAAATGTCCGATGCTTTGTGTTGAAGGATGGGGGACGTGTGTTGGTGGAATTAAACCTTATTTATCCCTCATTAGGCAGACAGCAGCAGTCGACTGATGATCGGAGGGAGAACAAATAATGTGTGGTGGGATGGGAGCTCATCCTGTAAGCTGTTGTCTTTCACTGGATTGTCAAAGCCTGCTTTTTCTTCCCTGGTTATAGTACTGCTTTTGTTTGGGTTTTGTTTTTGTATTAAAGAAAACAAAAATAGCTAAATTGTAAGAAAAAATAACCAGTCAAAAAAAAAAAA